TCCACTGACCCACGCTCCCAGCGAACGCGCTCCGAATCGGCGCTGGACTCCCCCACTGCTTCTCCCTCCTCACCGATGGCCCTGCACAGCCCGGCCGGTTCCCCGGGCCGGGGTAAGAGGGCAGCTGACGAGCGGGGCCGTTATGATGTCTTTACCCTGTCCTCACCGACTTCGTCGCCCTTTTCAATGGGCGGATTTAAGTACGGGCGCTCTCGGACGCCGCCCTCAGCTGCCAGCAGCAAGTACAACGCCCGCAGCCGAATCCTCAGCAGCCCGATGACAGTAATCTGCGAGCGGGACGGGGAACTGGCTGAGAGCGAGTACGGAGACACGGCAGAAAGTCTGTCTCAGCCAGCAGCTCAGGCTGTCCCTGTGCTCAAAGACTCCAATGGCACTTTATCCGAAGAAAGCAGAAGTTAAAAGAGCAGGAGCCGCCCCTTAGCTTTGGGGAGCTGAACTTATTCGTTGTAACCAGGCAGGGAGCTGGAAGAGGAGCCCAACACAAGGCCCTCTAGAGACACCTTCCTGAGCTCCACCCCCGCCCCTCTGAGGGAGTGGACATGTCTGGTCCTGATGCGGGACCTGGATGCAGCTCCATCACGGACCGGACAGAGCGCAGTCTGAAGCAGAGAAGTGGACCTGCTCCAGCTTTTTAAGACTGCCATGATTCTCATTCTTTCCTTCGTTTGGTGATTCACCTTTTTTTGTTCAAAGAATAGTGTTTCTTTTAGACCTGGTGTTCCTAGTTTTGTTTGCCATTTGTTTGTTTTTTTGTTTTCTTTCTAACTTCATCCCGCAGGAGTCCTTTTAGTTTCACCAAAGGACTAAAAGTTAAGATGGCAAACTTAAGTGAATTGAAGGAATGGAGAAGTCACTGACTGTTCGCTTAACTTTGCTGCTGTGGTGCTACGTAGCTAGGAGAGAGTGGAATGTAAAAGTGTGCGGGAGGCTCGCCTGTTTTCAGTTTCTGCTTTTCCTCTGCTGGCTGTGGGAAGCGTTTGAGAGCACCGTGGCTTGCAAGTGTCGGCTTCAAACAGCCAATCAATACGTGGAACGGGCGCGAGGACGTGGTACAGCAGGTGGCTCCGCGGTACAACTTCACCTACGGTTACCACTCTTTGATCGGTGGTTTTAGTTTGCAGAGCTGGTGTGTTCAGGGGTCCACAGGAAGTGCAGAGGGCTCAGTGCTGCCACCTAGTGACAGGGAACAGTGTGGAAAAATAGTTGGGGGATACGAAGGTTCAACCAAAACATCAAAATTACTCTCTGAAAAGGCTCATAAAAGTTAGTTTGTAGAATTTGCACTGTGCAGAGTTTTTTTTTTCTTGGTGAATTAAAAAAAAAATGTTTTAATAAACCAATTACATCATGTCATGTCACGTGTTTGGAAGTTAAGTAAGAAATGATAACATTAGAGTAAAAGAATATTTTATTATCTTTTAGTGATCGTGTGGGTTACCAAAGAGCTTGAAAAATGAAACGGAGTTGGACGTGACAGCAATCCGATGGTCTGACACCCCCGTGCATACGCTCCGAGAAGATCCACCAGACCCTGTGGGGGCAGATTTCTATATAATTTCTATAATGCTGTTGACCTTTCTGTTTATCCTTTTGCAGTTTTATATGGTTCTATATGTAAATAAATAGAGAATTGAGTTTTAAGTCACACTTGACCTATTTTCAAAGACTTTGTACATTTTTTTTAGAAGCCTCTGTTTGCTGAAAGGGAGTGGTTTCCTTTTTCGTAGATTATTTATTTTCACATAGGAGGGCGTCGGTATGGTTTAACTGGTCAGAGTCAGCTGACGGGTGGTTGAGGCACAGGAAAGAGAGGTCAGGGGTTAACCAGAGAAATCAAAAAGCCACATTTAGCTGGCTGACCCCAGCGAGCCGTTATTCTGTTAAAGACGCATCAAAAAGATAATATCAATTTTAACCAGCCTTTAATCTGAAGTCATGCCACACTGGTGCTCACGGCTGAATAAACGTGGTGACAGTCGTGAGACTTCATAACCTCCTAACAGCCATAACAGCCTGTGTGTTAATCACCTGTGACCAAATAATGTGTCTCCCAGAGCCCACCAGGCTGTGATTGAGCGCTCCTGAAAGCATCTGTGCTTGTGAAAAGACAGAGAGGACAGAAGAAGTAGTGGGAGTGGAGCTGAAGGCAGGCTGCTAACGCTCTCGTGTATGTCTGTGTAATAAAAACAAGGTGATATTTAAAGAACGCATCTCTGTGTCATTTCTGTGTGTGTGTGTGTGTGTGTGTGTGTGTGTGTGTGTGTGTGTGTGTGTGTGTGTGTGTGAGATTCACAGCCATCTGCCTGCTCAACACCCCAAATCACAGCCTCATTAGCGCCGTCGCCATGGCACCCACACTCGTCCGTCATCTGGAAAACTCCCATTATTCACCCTGCTCCTTCTGCAGGGGTCATCACTTATATTCCTTCTGGACATCCTATTAGGACACACTAGGTTAGAGCCTCTCGCGTGACTCCCAGTTAGCGCTGAGCCATCCAGACAGGACGCTGCAACTTCTCAATATTCCTGCATCAACGTCCTGCAGAGAGACACGTATAAATACCATTGCGCCACTGGCCCGTCAGTCTTCTCAGGGGAACAGAAACGCAGACAGTGTCTTAGTATTTTAAATGAAGCCCCGTCACCTCTGATTCAGCAGCCACCTGCCCTCTGACGCAGCGTCCATCTGGCTGCGAGACAGGAATCAATATGAACTCCCCGCAGCTATAATCACACTATTGACACTTCACCGCTTCCCCCCGTCTTTTTACATTCAAGACCACTCAATGGAAAGTGTTTATAAGTCATGGCAAATAAAGCAGGGCTGATCGCAGGGAGGCCAGGAATAGTAACCACATGTGTTTAGGCTGGAGAACAGAGTGCTGCTTCACTTATTAAACATCTAGCTTTTTTGCACTTGATTCCACACAGAAAGACTCCGGTCAGATGGGGGAATCAAACCAGGACCTTCTTGCTGTGAGGCAATAGTGCTAACCACCGTTTTCATGCTAATAATTTTCACATGGATTCAAATCCAGGTTGGGACCTTTCTGTGTGGAGTTGTTGGAGCGTGTTCTCTCCGGTTACTCTGGCTTCATCACAATCCAAAGACGTGCATGTTGGGTAATTTGGTTAGTCTAAACTGACCATAGGTGTGACTGAATGTGTTAGACCTATGTGTGTACCCCCACCTTTCGTCATATGACAGCTGGGATAGACTCCAGCACCTTCTCAAATCTGGATAAGTGAAAGAAAGGTGGATGGACTGATTTGGAGGGCATAAAATTTTACAATGTGAAAGTATTTAAAGATTCCAACAAGAACGCTATTAAAAAAAAAAGCATAATAGTAGAAGAAAGTATTTTAATCAAGCTAAATACTTAGTTTATCCACTTTAACTCATAAGGGCTTAAACCACAGAAGAAAACAGTTTTTGGGGACCCCCTTACAGCAGCTATGTAGACTCCCTTCACCCAAACCTTTCCAATATCCAATCCAATTTAGGTGTTTCTGTCTGAACTGTGTTAAACTCTAGCATTCATTCACCAGTCAGCTGAGCCAAAGTACTATAGTTAATGAATGGCAGGAGTTATATTAATCTCAAAGACAAAGAGTTCTTACATGTGCATTATGAGATATGAATATTACATCCACACAGTTTCTGTTGCGTCCAAACTGAACAGTAAATTTCTCCAGTTAATCTCACCAGAAAATGAAAGTACTTTCACATCATCAGCTCTAGTCTCCGCCAGGCTGGAGGGGAGGAGATAAAATTAAAATACAAAACTGTGGTGTTTAGATTAAAACAGTGAGCCTCATTATACCGATCCCCTCCACAGCATGTTTCGCTTTGCTGAGCGCGGCCAACGAGATCAATATGCGTGTGTGTATGCATGAACAGAGGATAAAAAAAACACATAATTTCTGCTGAGTGTGTGAACATGATATTGGGAACAATTCTGCCACAAATAAAATGAGTGACTCAGCAGACATCGGGCTGAGAGCGACGAGGGCGCGAGAGGAGACGTGAGGTGAGGTGAGGAAGGGCGAAGTGAGCCGCGGCTGACAAACGATCGATACGAGCGCCGAGGACGATCCAGATTTTATCTGTTACTGAACACGTGAAACTGGAATCTGTGACTGAAAAAGCCCAGCAGGAAATACAAATGACAAATACTTAAACGCACATTTATGATCCGAATAATGGTTTAATCATGAGTTATTGATTAGATAAGACAATTTACATTATTTAAACTTTCAAATTTCCCAATATTCTTATCAGTGCATTGCTCGTGCCATCATTCTTCATCCGAGTACTACTATGAGTAATAAACACACACACACACACACACACACACACACACACACACACACACACACACACACACACACACACACACTTAATGATTATATGAAGATATAAAAGAAAAAAGGCACATTTTTATTAGCTCTCTGTCAATATTAAACCAAAAATGGTCAGTCTGAGCAATTGAGCACAAAGCTGGTTAAACACACATTTATATTCATTGACAAAAATGACAGCTTATGAGACGTGTTGCGACGGGCCCAGCCATTCATCACAATGGATGCATATGCAGTCGCAGTGGCAGTAAGTGAGGCCTGAGAGCAGATAAACTGAGATTTACCGACGCTCGGCCGCTTGCCAGGCAGAGTCACCTTCCCAGAGCTGACTGACAACACAAACCTTCTGCTAAACTGTGCAGCTGATCTACAAAGTCAAAATATGTTTAATGCTTAATCCCTTGCACTTGATCCCTCTGGTCATAATGGATTTGATGCGATCCTTTCTTAATGCGACTCAAATCCAAGTACCAGGAGACACATTTTCACAGGCTGAACTCGTGGCGTGTGCAAATATTATACTCCAAAGTTCAGTGAAAACAAATATGAGGCTTCTGCACTTTTAGATGCACTGATAATTTTTGTGTAGATTTATTTATTTTTTTTTTTTTATGGACTGCGAGTCCTCACTATACTGCAAAAAACTATTTTTCCCCCCATTTTGACTGCTGATTCACGTAACTCTAACTGACAAAGCCTCACAGTTGCATCTAATAGCCGTCAGACTGCACTTTTACACACAGCGATGACTGGATTTATCTGTGTTTTAATGTCCATAAAGGCACTAGTATTATTTTAGGACTGACTTAAAAACCCAACTACGAACATTTCCTTTGCTTTCTTTGTTTCCTACACACAGTCCTGTCACATCAATATGCGAGTGTAAACAAGTAGCAGTTAGTTGCCATGTTATTTGAACATTTTTCACAGCAAAGGCTTCGACTTGACGTTGCAGGAAAAAGCAGCTTGTTTGAAATTGTGTTTCATGATTATGGGTTAACTGTTTTCACTAAGTCTTCCAACAAGACCTGCAGGAAAGACTGTATATATATATAAATTCTGGTTTACTTTTGCAATTCTCACATATTCTGAGTGCAGCCAGTGATCCTAAAATAGATATGTTTATGGTGTCAGCATGACTTAAACAGATCTTTGTTGATGGAAACATCTGATGACACGGCAAATCTAAGCAGCGTCGCCTGAGTGACACGTGGCTGCTCTCACCTGCTAGTGTGGGAGTGTAAATGAAAAACAAGAAGCTTCGTGTCCGTCGCACACAGGAAAGGTACACAGTGTGCTCCCACAGTGAGCCAGCCTACACCGCCCCCCCTGGACCCGGCTCACACTGTGAATGTTATCAGTCACATGGGTGCTGTCCCTGCCCTGTCAGGCGCAAACATCTGCTGTGAAAAAGGAGGTTAGCAACATGCACAATCAAAAGCCTAAAATTAGTGCATTTTGAAAATATTCATTAAAAATATATATATATTTTTTTTAATTAAGACGTACTTGTGGGGTTTTCTGTTAACATAAGAAACATTTTCTTGACTACTTGGCTCCACCTGCTGGTTATATTGCTTCACATGGCCGACAGGACCTCTAGTTGTCGTGTAATTAGTCTCCTTATCAAGTTTTTCAGTGAGTAATCAGTAACTTTTAGTGTAAGTAACAAATCTAACTTTTGTTTCTGGTCAAACACAAATGTATCAAATCATCACATTTAAATTCCCTTCACTAACATTTTGATAGGATAGAGTGACCCAGCAACGCTCTACTGCTCCTCTTCGTTCTTGAGGATCCAAACCTCATTCCTGCGGTTGGTCAGTTTGAAAGGGCTGTCGTACCCGGCTACATAGTACGGTTTCTCGATGTATTGGACTCCATCCCTCTTCAGACTTTCCATAAGCTTCAGCAGCTCTTCACGCTTCATGTTATCATTGGAGAAACCACCGTATGTCCTGGAGGAATAGACAAAAGATTTCTTTCTTCTTCTTCTTTTTTTTTAAAGAAAAAAAAAACTAAACCACTCATGGCTGATCACTGTATTTGTTTTGGACTTTCACAAAATAAACAATCCAAAGTCTAACCTGGCGGCTCTGTTTGTACCCTACCTGACATACACCGTCAACTCCTTCCTGTGCTCTATAAACACCTCGGGCTCGTTGGGCTCGGGTGGAGTGGCCTGATGCTCCTCTGGGATGTAGAAGGATACGGTGAACTGAGATTCACACGCAGGGCCGGCCCCGGGTTTCACGTGGCACGTCACGGGGGCCGTCATCTCCACTTTGGCCTCTATAGAACCAGCAAGAAAGGAGGTTCTTTTGTTGAAAAGAAAAAAGAAAAGAAAAAAAAAAAAGAGTAGCCGCACATGCCAAACATCATGATGATGATAAAAGGGCTGAAATATAACCAGCTTGTGTAAGATTTACAGATGTTAAAACGAACTATCAGTCACCAGCTGGTGAATTGAAACCAGCCAGCAACACAAACAATATATATTCTCATAAATATTGCTGCAAACTGCTGAGCAAGGCAAAAGTAAGAGAGGAGGAACTGTTGCAAAGTGCTGAGCAGGAACGAAAGTGCACTTTCTCTGACTTTTCCATCCATTGATGCCTTGGAACCCCAGTTCTCTGTAAATTTATTGTGCAACATTAAAATACTGCCATTGTGACGTGTAGGTTTTGTAACAGATTTGCCACAGCGCCACAAAATAAAACTCGCACAGCCTCAGCAACACAGGCTCAGCTTACCTTGCGTGAAGGTGATAGCAGTAACATGAAACTCACTGTTTTTATTGTTGCCTTGGATGTAGTTGAAGAGTCTACGGAAGCCAGTAGACAAGGCTGCTTCCAGCTGCATCCCGCTCACAGAGGTGCTCACCCACTTAGTGGGCTGGTAGGTGCGGATTTCATAGTCCTGTCCCTGCCACACACAGGCGCACAATGAGGATGACAATTGGTTATTATTGAGCAATTTTTAAAAAAAATCCAAGATTTTGTATACAAAATACCTCGAAACTGTGAAAAAGACAATCCCATTTTTTCTTCAAATGTGTGTTACAACAAAAATATGACTCATTTAGCCACAAATCTAGAAAACTGGAGTTGTGTGAAAAAAATTGCTGTGTGAAAATTTCACACAGCAAACATAACACAATGATTTGCAAAACTCATAAAAGCATATTTTCATTACAATAGAACAGAAAAAATATATATCAAATGCTGAAACTGAGAAAATATAAAACTTTTAAGAAAAACATTGGCTCATTTTGAATTTGATGGCTGCAACATGTTTCAAGGTGGTGTTGGTGGTGTTAAAAAGTAACATCTGGAGGAAAATTTTGCACTAATTAGGTTAACTGTCAGCACATCAGTAACATGACACAGAATAAAAAGGACATCTAAGACTTTAAATATCTCATCATCTACAATACATAATATCAAAAGGCGAGAAAAGGCCCCAAAATCAATTCTGGATTCTTGTGAGGTTTGTGCTCTCGGGCAGCATTGCTTTAAAAACAGGCACGAGTCTGTCATGGAAATCACTGCATGGACTCAGGAGCCCTTCCATAAATCACTGTCTATGAACACGGTTCACTATCCATGAATATACATATGAAACATGATCCAGAAACACTACCTTCTTCTCTGGGCCAACATTCATTTAAAATGCACTAAAGCAAAAAGGAAAATTTCTGTTGTCAGACATTTCTTTTGTCTGCCCCTCCTGTAGTTCCACCCCTGCTGTATATACAGGTTTTAGAATAACACATACAGCTTATCCAGCGTACACAGCTGGCATCCAGATGATGCCAGCTGTATACGTGCTATTATGAAGCTGTGCTATTACAATAGCACAGCTTCATAAAAGAAGAGTCTGGGTGTGAACTGACCTGCCTGCAGTTCACACATTTCACCACTTGAAAATATTTAGCTCGTTATGAAATTAATAATGCAACAAAAAAAGGGCCGTTAATCAGTTACAAATCTTATATCAGACAAGACTTTCTCGAATTGGTCTTTAATCTTGTTTATATTTAGCACAAACATCTGGATGATCTACTGGATAAATTCAGCATCACAAGAACTAAAAAATCAAAAAGTGGAAATATGCATAACGCAGTGCACACACGACACAGGGGTTAATAGTTTAACCAAGTTTACTGTGGTTTCTTCTGCTGTCAACTGAACATCAAGCACTCATTTAATGCACATCACCCTGTTGTCCCGTGACAGTGGGGACAAGCTCAGACCAAAGGTCCAATATTCTGTTTTATGAGCTAAACTGCAGAGCACTTACCTTTTTCTCCTCCGCAGTGAATTTCGGATTCTGCAGACCAGTTGAGAACAACACTTGTCCCACAGCTTTCAGCATGACTGATGATCCAAACCTCCTTTTCCAAGGATAAGACAGAAGCAAACTCAGCTTTCCAGCCGCTGCAAAGTTAAACAATAATGTAAAACCGCGCATCTTAGGTTATTCAACAACTTCCTACAAATGCAATCGCTTTTTTTTTCTTATTTCGGTGGACGTGTAGCTTTTTATCAAAACACAGCAAAATTATTTTTTTTACAGTAAAATAATAACATATAAAGATAGAAAAAGACATAATTACCAGTCAACTCGAGTGTTTGGTAACCGATGTCTGGGCGAACAAGGTGTGTGCTGTTAGGAGCGCTTGTTTTCGTAACATCTCTTCCTGTTACATAAATGCGCATTTTGATTGGCGGACCGATTGTCTTGTCACAATAGGACACGCCCCGAGTAAATACAAGCCTTCTTCTGGAAAGTTCAACTTCAGCCTGAATTTAAACCGGTTTGGCATGAATATGTACACCCTTTCGTTCCAAAAAGGGATTTCCGTGTGTGTTTGTGTGTTATTTAATGTCTAATGTCTTTGCTTATATTAGTATACAGGCTGTGGTCAACAGGCTTTATAAAAGGGTTTATATGTAAAATAAAGAAATGACCTGTTTTGAAAGTATCCTCGTCCTTATTATTATACATACTGTGCTCTACATTGTAATCAGCTCAGTCCTTTCTAGCCACTTACAAAGTTTTTATAGAACTATGTTTTACTTGTTGCAACTTCTGCTTAACATCATGTAGACTTTTTATCATGACAAATCAATTATATATGAAGTCATTTACAACAATTCTTCTACTAGAAATATATAGATTTTTAAACCAGTTACTGAAACTTTGCATCTGTTTGATTATTTCTTTCATAACTCATAAGTTTTCCTGTATACATTTATTTCAGTGCAGGTTTTACATCCAATTTTATTTTAATTTCAGTTTAACAGCAACAATTTTCACATCTACTTTTAGTAATCTATAATAACCTTCTACTCTAATTGGTTGGGATGTATTATTTTGATGTAAGATAATGAAATGATAACGTGCCTGGAAAATTCCAGTGAAATAGGATTTTATTGTGTTCAGAGTTGAAGGTAAAAGAGTAAAAGACAATGTTTCTCTTGTGTAATGTGTAAAAAGCAGCAGAACTGTGAGGACAATTTGCTGTTAATAGAAGTGACTCTCAATCTTATGAGTTGCCAGTGAAACTGAAAGGATTCAGAAAGTTAATGTGGAATAAATGACCCAGAGGATCAGATCTTTTATTATTATGAAGGCACATCCAGAGATACCAGTGGACCATAGTGGAGGAATCTATGGATAGACCTGATAGGCTGAACATCAACCCAGGTCCATTGTGCATTGTCCATTGTGCAAGGAGGAACAGGAGGAGCACTGCTGGAGGCCTGCACAATGACATCCAGCAGGCTACTCACCTGTGTGTTACTGACCAAACTATCAGAAACAGACTCAACAAGGACCAGCATGAGCTTCTGCCATCCTTTAGTGGGGCCAGTGCTCACAGACCAGCACCGTGCAGCTCTTGAGACTCTGCTGAAAAACAGGAGAAGGCAAGTTCTGTGGCAACCACCTGCAAAACCACTGCTTTTCCTTGAGGGTTGACCTGCACTTTTTAATGCCTGTACTTACACAGCAGGTGAAATAGATTCATACTGGTTCATGCTTCCAGAGTGAACAGATTAGTATTCCCAAAGCTTTATTTCTCTTATACTGGGCTCAAATTGGGTTTTACTGAATCTACAATAACAAATTCCCACAGTCTGACCACATTTCTAAAGCTGTGAGCAAAACAACTAAGCTACAAAATGTTGTGTGCACTTGTGTCATTTGGCTGGTATATGAGCACACCCGTTGCCTTCTAACAGCTTAATCCAGCCTTTACTCCAACTACTGTCTCCACCCAATATCACCAGGCAGTTGAACATATATTGTGGGAACAGCATCTCCCATTTATTTACTTATTAATATTTACATCAAAGAGATTGAAAGCTAAATTTACACCAGAAAAATAACTCATTTGCAGCATTAAAAAAAACAAAAACCAGACACACAACTAGAAGATATGGAGGCACAATCTTAAAGAGCAGGTGGGGTACAAACAACCTCAAAGCTAAAGGGGACACCTTCCAAACTTCACTCCCACAGTCTAGATGACAGAGAAGCGTGGAAAGGAGAGAGCTGCTCCATCTCTGAATGCACGTTGAAATGACTGTGAGAACGACTTAAAGGGTGATTTACATGCTACACAGTTTTGCAAGGGAAAGCACCGCGACACTGTTAGTGTAAAGATGAGGCAAACAGACCCGTGTGTTTTCTTTAGAAGACCAGTCATGGTGAGAAGAAAGAATAATTACAGATGTGGATTCACAGTTTGAACTTGTGACCCTATCTATCACTGCTAATGCAGTGTGCACAAAAACAAGAGTGGCATTGAGGAGGAACTGGAGAAACTGAATCTATAGGGCACAGCAAACACCTTTGTCTCCATGTTTTCCTATAAGGCAATGCTACTCATTACAATTCAAAATCAAAGGTCGAGTCAAAGGAAGTGGAAAAGACTGAAAAATAGACTGGTCTGTCAAACATCAGTTTTACGAGGACTTGCCACTGCTAAAAACAGCAGCAAACAACTCCAACCTGATAACAAGATAACATGGAGGTACCTTCCAAAGGGTCATAAAGCAGTTTATTGATATTTAACAAGACAGTAAGCAACAGATTCATAAAAACAATCAGCTGTAAAGTCATTTTAATAACCGTCCTTTGATTGTTAAATGAAATGACGATTAGTGAACTGGATTGTACTCTTTGCCAAGGCTTCACAACCCAGCGCACTCTGTGTACAGTCTGCAGCTGACAAAGCCCTGTGACTGGGAGTCTTTCAGGGCTGGTAATGCTGGTGTATGAAGTACAGCACGTCATTTTTGGACAGTTTCTCAGGGTCCACTCTGGTTTGAGAATCATGAACTATAACCCCATCCACCCAGGCCCAGAAGAGCCGCTCGGAGTGGCACACGCTGCAAGGAAAAGAATTTGTCAATATTTTCCATGAAATAGTGAAACAGCTTAAATGCTGTTTAACACGTTTCCTGTGTTCTATTGTGAATAAAACATGAGCTAATGAGTAGGGCTGTGCAATATGACCAAAATCTAATTTCCCGATAGAAGACATTTATCGTCCTGACAACGATATATATCACAAAAAGTTTACATTTTCAGCTAATTCTGTGAATCTTGGGCAACTCGACTTGCGTGAAGTGTTTTCAGCTGGGTATCGTGTACCTGGCGGCCGTTTCAACTTGAAACGGCCGTAATTTTCTTCGTGAGTATTTATTACACGGCGTGCTTCGGGGAAAAGCCTGTTCTAAGGTTTATTTTTTAGCACTTGACGCTCTTTTTGGCCGCTCATCTGTCACGTGATTCAGTTCATTTTGAAAAATCTCAACAGGATCTTCAGCTTTACTGTGAAAGATTTATGTGGAAAATAAACAAGCGCACGGCGGAGCCACACGATCATTGTTGCTAACGACAATGCATAAAAACAGTCGCTTGTCCTTCCGTAGTGTGGTTATTACTAAATGTGGTTACTAAATATAAGAGAAAGAGAGAACTTTAAGAAATTCTACAGTGACCATCAAAACAATAAAAAAAAAATATTGCCATAAACAGTTTATTTTGCGACACCACAAAACAAACGATAGCGTAAAATGAAACGATTTTTTATCGTCATCCGATATATATCGTTATATCGAACAGCCCTACTTATGAGATCTTAAAATATTTACATTCACTTATTATTTTTATTTTAAAAAGCATACGAACTTTTTCAGATGTGAATCTCTGGAATAAAGAGAGAAATTAAGAGGACGCTACATACTGGAAAGGAGCAGCAGAGTTCGGTGGCATTGCATAGGTCGACTCCTTGGTTGTTTTATTATAAAAGAACTTCATCTTGGAGTTTTTGCTGTACGCCATCGTCCACGGCTCTGAATGGTGGAGGAGAAAAGAAATCCCGCATTTATTTACTTACTAATAAATAAATAAAGACATTTTGCTCGCAGCATTGTTTGTGCTCGCAGTTAAAACAAATCACAACATACAGACCATTGACAGTCTTGATGATGTAGAGGCCCGTGGGAAGGAAGTGTCTGTCATCTCTGCCTGTGTAGGACAGACGCGGGACACCTCCTGAGCTCTTTGTCACTTTCATCTCTAGTCTGGGTGGGGAAGGAAATGACAAGTTTTTCTGACAAGCGCCATAAAAGGAGCCTTGATCTTGAAAAACAGGACAAATCTAAGAAGCTGCAGTAGTAAATATACACGGCAGCTACTCAAAGGGTTCTCTTCCCATACCTGACAAAGATTTTCTCCATTTCTTCCAGCCTGTAAACCTCCTTCACTCTGGGGGGAAAAAAGATGCTTTGTAATCTTTGTAACTTACCAAACTGCAAGTAAGATTTCTGCTCAGCGTTCGATCACAACTACCACAGCAGTACTTGGAAGCAGTATTTCTAAGAATTATAAACCATGTGAGATTGCATAAACTAATATTTAGTTAGTAAGAAAATAAAATTAAAAGAAGGCAGATGGGAGTACCTGATGGGGTTCATGTCTGGTCTGCTGGGTTTAGCCACTGCCTTCACAAACTTGTCAGCCATCTGGATCCTGGAAACATAACAAACATCATTTAGCAGACACAACGAAGATTATCTGAAACGATTACAATATAAAACTGAATATACAGGGAATACATTACTAGTCTTTTTAATGATTTTCTACTTTTTTCTCATACAAAGACCCATTTTTAAGCTAGTGGATAAAAATGTCTCACCGCTGGTTGAAGTGCTGATCTCTTACATCAGTGCCGTTCAGTATTAGCACATCCATTACATGAACTGCGCTGATTCTGCGCTGAGCTTTGCCCTGAGGACCAAAGGGAGAGCGTAACACAGCTCAGAAAGCATCCTACTCAGCTGCACATAAACCGCAATGCAAGTCACGCATTCTGATTGAGGCTAGCTGTAAAAGGTCGATACCTTAAAAAAATGATTAAACAGAAAATTTGAGTCCAAGAGGATCAGAATAATAAGTGATAAGAAAACCTGAGTCTGTCACAGAGTTTTAGTCCATTCTCTCACCTCGCCCTTTAGTTCTTGGACAATCTCTACACTTAGAAGTGTATCTCTTGGCAGCTCCAGCTTGAAATTCTCCATTTTCTTCCAGCGCACAGGCATTTTCCCATCCCAGGTGTAAATCTGAGACTTCTGCAAAAGTCATCGAAAACCAGGTTTGATCAAAGTCACGCAGACGCTAA